TGGCCGCTGAGCCTGTGCGTCCGGAACCTGTGCTCTGCAATGGGAGAGGCCACAACAATGAGAGGCCAGCGTAAAAAAAAAAAAAAAAAAATGTAGGGGAAAAAAAAAGGCTATACAAATTTTACAAAGTCAGTCTTTCCTCATCCTGTTCCAACATGTTGTCCCAAACTTGCTGTCTACAACCACTGCTAAGCAAAATGGGAAATCAGCAACAATGGTATTTCCTGGTCCAAAATAAGCAAGTATTAGCAGGCCTTCCTTATCAGGAATTTGGGGGGTAAGGGAGACATTGGAGCCTCTAAATTCCAAAGATGCATCACAAAGAAAACCCTATTATTCTCCATCTAATGTGCAGAAGTTGTGAAATATTAAAATAGATGTGATTCCTTCCCAATCAGAAGCCATGGAATTTGTAGTATCAACAACCATAACCAACTTTACACATGTGTACAGCCCATTTCAATCCTGAGGTGTGCTATGACTTGGCAGGACTGAGCATGCTCAATTGAACCCCAAGATTGACTCAGACCAGATGATAAACTTTTGTTTCTTCCCATTCATTACTATAATGCCAGATCTTTATGTATTTCTTCAAAGAGAAAGACCAAAAATACTAACTTCACAAAAATAACATGGGAACTATTGAAAATATTGGCCACATAAGCTAAGTAAGACTTTTAAAAGAAAAATGATTATTTTTAGGTAACTCCCATTCTATACTGATATATAAAATTATGATTCAATATCTGTTCATTCTCATGGAATGGAGAGGTATATAAAGCACAATATCTAGCTAGAGAGTCTATGCAGAAATGTTAAATGAGTTAGAATTACTTGGCCCAGAAAGAACAATAATCCAATAATAATCTTCATAAGAATATCAATTGCCTTTCCTAGAAGATGGGCATGAGTATTTTCAATTGCTACTAAGTTCAGAAAAAAAGAATAAATTTGGATACTATGTGCTAAATTAGAGGTTTAAAAAAGTGTATTTTGAAATAATTCCAGACAAGGAAATGTTTTCCAATAGACTATTAATAAATTAGGGCAGGACACAGATTTATTTATTTGTGTATCCCTGGAGCCTAGAACTGGGCCTGTTGCAGAGAACATTCAATGTTAAACTGAGTTCTCAATTATCTGGCTTGTTGTTGTTTTTTTTTCTTTTTTTTTTTTTCCCTTGCGTTATGCGGGCCTCTCACTGCCGTGGCCTCTCCCATTTGCGGAGCACAGGCTCCGGACGCGCAGGCTCAGCGGCCATGGCTCACGGGCCCAGCCGCTCCGCGGCATGTGGGATCTTCCCGAAACGGGGCACGAACCCGCGTCTCCTGCATCGGCAGGCGGACTCTCAAGCACTGCGCCACCAGGGAAGCCCCTGGCTTGTTTTATGTGTAGTTCTATCTGAAAGATCACAGGGCATGTCAATATCCTTCCTAGTGTTCAAAAATGCTTCTAAGAGAGGACCATGACTCGAGAATTTACCTTTTCCTCCTCCTAAATGACTACGGCTATTCATTAAGAGAAAGGCAGTGAAAATAGTGTGTTCACTCACAGGTAATGGGATGTCAGGTAGGAAGGTGGGGTAAACTGAGCCTATATTACCTACAAAGCTGATTCTGAACTTTATGACTTGTAGAAAGACAAATCTATTTCCCTGGTGTTTGATAAGCATTATGAGACTTATTTTATCTTGTAATTAATAAGTTAGTTGAGGGCTTCCCCGGTGGCGCAGGGGTTGGGGGTCCGCCTGCCGATGCGGGGGACGCGGGTTCGTGCCCCGGTCCGGGAGGATCCCACGTGCCGCGGAGCGGCTGGTCCCGTGAGCCATGGCCGCTGGGCCTGTGCGTCCGGAGCCTGTGCTCCGCAACGGGAGAGGCCACAACAGTGAGAGGCCCACGTATCGCCCCCGCACCAAAAAAAAAAAAAAAAAAAAAAAAAAAAAAGTTAGTTGAACAAACATGAATGTTTATACTATTAAGGTGTGTGAGGAAAATATGAGAATGTCCACAGCTGATATTAGTCAGGATGGTGAGAAGGTGAACTTTATCGCTTACCTCAACAGCAGAATGGTGACCGATAACCAGCCCCATGACCCTAACAAGTACAAGAACTAGAAAAAATAACTCTAAATCATCTCATGGAGTCTCAATCTAAAGTATCATTCGACCTTTTGGTATTATAGCAAAATAAGGTATGTATACACTGAATATTCTCCATATCCCAGAATGGTGTATGCCACATTATGAGAGCACTATAAACACAGATGATTATCTATGATCAAGACTTATATAGTCCTGAAAAGCATCATTTAATTAGACTTTGAAATGGTCATTCTCATAACTTAAACTTAAGAATGTAGTTGAAGATGCTTTAGAAATTAAACTGTGGTATGAAGGTTATCAACTATAAATATCTAAACCTTTACATAATCCTTCTTTGAAATAAATTATATCAAAATTATGTCAACATTTTAAAAAGTGGTTGTGGGTATATGGTTGTATGTGTGCATAAATGAAAGCACAATTTCTGTTGGTGGTGGTTTCATGGATGATGGAGAACAAGAAACTAGTATTAAATAGAAATTTTCAGCAAATAATTTTCTATTAAATGGCTAGACTCTGGCCACCAAATAACATTAGGAGAAGAAAAAGGAAACATAACTAGAAAAGAGAGAATGCCCTCCCCATAATCATAAATTAAAGTGAAATAAAATCTGTAAATACGGCTTCCCTGGTGGCGCAGTGATTGAGAGTCTGCCTGCCGATGCGGGGGACACGGGTTCGTGCCCTGGTCTGGGAAGATCCCACATGCTGCGGAGCGGCTGGGCCCGTGAGCCATGGCCGCTGAGCCTGCGCGTCCGGAGCCTGTGCTCTGCAACAGGAGAGGCCACAACAGTGAGAGGCCCGCGTACCGCAAAAAAAAAAAAAAAAAAAAATCTGTCAATAGGTCTATAAATGTCATCTTAAGTTATACATTTCAAAGTACACACACATACACTTTTCTTACACATGAACACTGGGGAACATTCAGAACTTACTAGTGCTTGGGTCAAGCTCTGCCAATTCATCCTGACAAAAACCTAAAGAGAAAACAACAGGAAAAAAAGATTACAATTCATGAATTATTCCAAGGTGCCTCCAAATATGAAAAATCAAGTATCATATAGCGGGAAAAAAAATCCAGACTCAGATGTCAAATCTGGATTTGAATCCTCGCTCTATAACATTTAGCTACTGTACATCCTTCTTTGAGCCTCCATTTCATCATCTTTATATAAAAAAATGGAGATAGTAACAGCACTTATCATGGATAGTAACGAGGATTAAGTGGGACACTGATATAAAATGCTTATTTAGCACAGTCCCTGGCACAGAGGAGCTCAATAAACAACAGCACAAGTAATTATGAGTAAGCATGCCAAAGTTAGCTATAAAAAGTTCGTAATAAAATTACAATGTACTTAATACTCGTCATGTTCTACTATGTTATCAATTAATTATTTTCCAAAAGAAAGCAAAATATACAAAATATGAACTTATAAAATATCCAACAGGATAATTTTACTTAAAATTTTCACAGTTGCTTAAGAATTTTACCTATACACACAAATGGGAGCAATTCTTCCATTAATAAATATGCTATTCAAGTTGGAATAAATACCTCTCAAAGCACATTTCAGGCCCAAAAAATCTGAGCTACATCTTTCTGATTGGTGTGTAGCTATCACACTGAAGAGAAAAATCAAGCACAGTGAGTGGCAAACACCCAGTAGGTGTTCTATACACAGGTGATGAAAGTTCTATTTTTCTGGAATGACTGCTTACTCTCTCCAGTTTGCCTTCTACTCATTCTCAGAAAATCTTTTTCTTGCCTCCCTTATCCTTGTCTCATACACAAGGTCAAAGCCCCCTGTTATAATTATCTATAATGTTTTGTGCACTCATCAGCAAGGAATTATTGGCTCAATGTCTGATGCCACTATTAGACTGTTCCACTAACAGTGTTCCACCACCCTAGGGGAAGGGACCTGGCCTGTCTTGTTCACAGCTGTAACCCCATTATGTCTCACAAGCATAGTACAAAGCAGATGTTCAATAAATATCAACTGTAGTATCTCAATGGTAAATTCAAAAACAATGGAGCAAACCTAGGCCTAGAGGGATATAAGAACATTTTCTGTCATCAGAGCCAGGCAACCAGAAGCCAAAAGAGCAACTGAGCGTCATGTGGAGAAGGATTCAAACAGCAAGTAGACTGTTTAAACACCACTTTTAAAGTCCTTGCAACCCTGGGCATTCACCAAACAAGCCACAGTCCTTCTTGGTAAAGAACTATTCATCATCCTTCAAGACCCAGCTCAAATATGACAACTATGAAACATGGAAAACAGAAGAGGCCTCTCCTGCATTCACAACTTAAATAACTGCCTCCTCCACTAGACAGTGAGCTCTTCAAGGGTAGGCACAGTGCCATATCCATCTGCAGAGCTGCTTCTATGCCCGAAACAGTTGCCGATACATTACGTAAGGTGCTCAAATGCAGAATGAACTAAACAGAAAACACAACCCTGCCTCTAGATCACAGTCTAGGGGAAGGAAGTCACAGGATCAGAAAATCTAAGTCTAGCCTGCAAAGTGTGTGGAATGTCTGAATGAGGAAATCTAATCTGGGAAACCAGAGTTTGGAAGCTGCTAAAGTGGATGAGATGCCTAAAAAGGCTCACCTCAGAGCAACTTTAAACCTTCTCTACCTAAACACATGGGGATCAGAAAAGCTGTGGAGAGATGCCAGGCAATGAGGAAATCACTCATTACACATGGGTCCAATACTGAACATCCTGCCAGAAATGAAACTGAGAATAAGCACTCACTTAATACAAATTGACTCAAAAATAGGACAAAAAACATGGGAAGGCAGAATAGTATAATGGGCAAGTTATAGTTCAAGCCACTTTTAGTTTAGTCATATGACTTTAGGCAAGTCACTCCCTATTCTGGACCTCAGATTCTGGACATTAAATGAAAAAGCTGTACTAGAAGTCTCAAGAAAAGACAAAGCCTAACACATTTTCTGAAAACAACATTCGGAACTCAAAGTAACTAGATCAAACACAAATAAAGACAGGGTGACTAAAAAAAAAGAAATACTATGAAAAATAGTTAAAGTGGACATCTATTGCTTTTATCTGCCTAGCAACCACTCCCCCCTTCTGGTTAATGGCATTCTGGTTTTACTTTGGAGACTTATCCCTTTTACACTTTCAGTTGATATGACCCAAGTAGGATTAACCCTAACCCTGCTATAAACTGGGATTAACAACAGCACTTACCTTATAGGTCTGTTAAAAGGATTAAATGAGATAGTGCATGTAAAGACTTTACACAGTACTTGACAAAGTCAAAGCTCAACATATGTGAGCTACTACTAACTAACTAACCCCAAGGGTCCATCCAATCTAGTGCTGTATCTGTGGTACCAAAGAGGAGATTATAGGAGGGTTAACTATTAACTCATTCATGACACCATCCTCAAAGACCTGGAATGGAACCCCCTAACATCACTAACATAGTTTAATTACTTGCTGTGATTCTTGAACCTTTTTTTATATTTTGAACCTATAAACTGCTTGATGCAATAATTCCAGATGTAGTACGCTACCCCCCCCCCCCCCCCC